GTGTATACAAATATATATTTATAAATTTATATATGTATATATTTATGTGTTGGTAGGTTCGCTTTTGAAACTAATCAAATTATCCTTAGATAAAATCAGACGGTGATGCTGGGGATGGCGGTCTTTAGGCATCACTCCATTTAGGCTTTCTGAACTGCTCCAACCTTGACACCCTCTGCTCCAGTCAAGCGGGCTGTGGGCATCACCCACAGATCTTCTTGCCGTGTACGAGAGCATGAAAGCAAACCCTCAGGGCCAAGCAGGTGCCATACAGACCCGGGGGGCCACAGGCTTTATTGCACTCGTAGAGTTTCCTGACTCTCATATGATTTAAAGCATTGCAGCATTACATGTAAAAGCCACTGTTCTGCAGAGTAAACAAATAAACCAATCATAGCAGCTCCCTTCATCAGATCATTTCAGCCCAATAAAAGTAACCAGGAGGAACAAGATTAATTGTACATTAAACATCCCACTCGTGGTAGCTTCCCCCAAGCAGCCCTTGAAGACTAATGATATACCTGAGAGATGTTACTCCATCTACGCAATCCAGACCTAATTTCACTAGGGTTAGCCTTGTTTTAAGTGCACTGCCAGGTATCTGAACCTTAGTAAGTCAATAGTATTATGATCGTTTTTCAAGGTATGCAATTTACAGAGTTTTAAGCACTCTGTCTTCATAAAGTAGTTACAAGAGAAGCTGGGCAGATAAGGAAAAGATGTCTAAATTAAGCAATGGAACCATACGGTTAATTAAGGAAATTTAAGGAGGAGGAGAGGTGGTTAAATGATCTGAGTCTTGTATGTGATGTCCTACAGTGGGACTCAAAGAAAATAGTCATTTAAAATAGGTCAGATAAATCACTCCCTGAAAGTGCCTGTTTGTCTCCGCTGCCTGTAATGAGACCCTGAGGTGGTTAGCTCAGATGTAGGTATCTACAGCAAAAATGTCTGAATTTGGATGAGATGAATCCTGTCTCTGGTGTCCAAAAGCCATGAACAGAGAATGAGAGATATACAGGCAACTGGAGAGTCCAGTTGGGGAAGGTTAATTAAAAAAGAGCTTTTGGCTTGCTGCCCCTTTCCCACGCTCCCCGAGGAAGATGACGACTTTAGCAACAGGACTGGGAGAGACACAGCTCCAAGAGCTCTCAGAGTGCATTGGCCTCAGGATGGGAGACTAAGACATGAGCATCACAGGCCACGGGACATGCACGGCGACCGAGGAAGATCATGTATGACAATTATCATCTAGAACTGTGCTCTTTGGGGCTGTGCTTTTCTTCCCGCTTTGTTTCATTCTTGCATTCTTCATTTTACTTTTTATCTCAATAGAATACATTCTTTGTTCATATTCTTAATTTCGAGGGACCTCACAAATAGCATGCGTTCTATTGCTGTGGGTGCGACGAAAGTAATTAGGAGGTATTTGATTATTCTTAGGGTTTCTTGTGCCCTGCACAGGGTTAGGAGACCCCAGGAGTCTACAGAGAACCACACGCAAGACGCCAAGTGATGAAGGGCTGCCAGAATGATGGAAGGAGCCTGTCTGGGCAAGGGTAGGCCGAATCTGTTACTAATCACCGAGTGTGAAAGAACCAGAGACTTGGGGGTCGCTCTGAGCCAGGTACAGCATTTTTGCTTTGTTTGGTGTTGCAGAGCCTCAGAAGCGGTTCTCACTGAAAGAAGACCACAGCTAATCTGTTCAGTCGAATGGAAATGCAGCAAGCCCCTTACAATAACGTAAAACATTTGCAGTTCAGAGGGGAACCAATCATTTGCAGTTAGAAGAAAAATGTAAAAGCCTTTCTTTTATTACTAGAATGAAACCAAACACGGTCAGAGGTTAAAATCGAAGCATATCGTCACAACTCTATGATGCTTCCACTCAGCTGACCAGAAATGTGACACTAGTAATTGCTTTCAGGGAAAG